CCCCCCCCCCCCCCCGCCCCGCCTGATAGAGTTAACAATAAATTATCAGAATGTATTTGAAGAGTTATAGTTTAGTTGGGCCAGATTTTATGCCTATCATGGTGGTTATAGATCTCACTCTTCTGGCAAATAAAAACAGAGCCAAGCTAAAAATCGATTACAATAAGAACAAATTTGTTATTTTTGTATTTAAAAAATACAACACTATACTCAGATCACTCAATATGCGTCCATATCTCCCCTTGGTACTCACTCTAACTCCATTTATTTCCAGTAAATACATGAGTAATATCTATGAATAGATTTAGATTTATCTATCTCCACGTATCTTTATATATCTCCCTATACCTTCATGTTTCTCCCTGTGTATCTCCCAGCACCTTCATGTATCTCCATGTATCTTCATGTATCTCCACGTATCTTTATATATCTCCCTATACCTTTATGTATCTCCCTGCAGTACCTTCATGTATCTCCATGTTTTTCCCTGTATCTCCCGTTCGCCCATGTATCTCCCTGTACCTGGATGTATCTCCCTGTATCTCCCTGTATCTATCTGCACATCCTTGTATCTCCCTGTACCTAGATGCATCTCCCTGTATCTCCCTGCAACTCCCTGTATATAACTGTACCTCGATGTATCTCCCTGTACCAAGATGAATTTCCCTGTATCTCCCTGCAACTCCATGTATATAACTGTACCTAGATGTATCTCCCTGTATCTCCCTGCAACTCCATGTATATAACTGTACCTCGATGTATCTCCCTGTACCTCGACTTCATGTATATAACTGTACCTCGATGTATCTCCCTGTATCTCCCTGTAACTCCATGTATATAACTGTACCTGGATGTATCTCCCTGTATCTCCATGTACCTCGATGTATCTCCCTGTATCTCCCTGCACCTTCTTGTATCTCCCTGTAACTCCATGTACATAACTGTACCTCGATGTATCTCCCTGTATCTCAATGTACCTCGATGTATCTCCATGTATCTCCCTGCACCTCCCTGTATCTCCCTGTAACTCCATGTATATAACTGTACCTCGATGTATCTCCCTGTACCTCCATGTACCTTGATGTATCTCCATGAATCTGACACAATCAGAAGAATCTGATCTCTACTGTAACCCCGTCAAATAAGCCTATATCAGGATGGAACATAATTGTCTGAAGTGCAAACTATAAACACACAACTATACGAACTATATACATATGTACAAGAATAGTATGGTGCGTAGGGTATATATACAAGAAGATTAGGGAATGTAGGCTCTATATACAAGAACAGTAGGGTGTGTATGATCTAAATACACGAAGATTATGGAATGTAGGCTCTATATACAAGAAGAGTAGGGTTTGTAGGATCTAAATACAAGAAGAGTAGGGAGTGTAAGCTCTATACAATAAGAGTAGGGTGTGTAGGATAGTGTAGGCTCTGTATACAAGAAGAGTATAGGGTGTGTAGGCTATATATACAAGAGGAGTAGGGAGTGTAGGGTCTATACACTAAAAGAGTAGGGAATTCAGGGCCTATATACTAGAAGAGTAGGGAGTTTAGGGTCTATATACTAGAAGAGTAAGGAGTGTAGGGTCTATACACTAGAAGAGTAGGGAGTGTAGGGTCTAGATACAAGAAGAGTAGGGAGTGTAGGGTCTATATACTAGAAGAGACGGTAGTGTAGGGTCTATATACTAGAAGAGTAGGGAGTGTAGGGTCTAGATACAAGAAGAGTATGGAGTGTTCGGTCTATACACTAGAAGAGTAGGGTGTGTAGGGTTTAGATACAAGAAGAGTAGGGAGTGTAGGGTCTATACACAAGAAGAGTAGGGTGTGTAGGGTTTAGATACAAGAAGAGTAGGGAGTGTATGGTCTATATACTAGAAGAGTAGGGTGTGTAGGGTCTATATACTAGAAGAGTAGGGAGTGTATGGTCTATAAACAAGAAGAGTAGGGAGTGTATGGTCTACATACTAGAAGATTAGGGAGTGTAGGGTCTGTTTACCCGAAGAGTAGGGAGTGTATGGTCTATATACAAGAAGAGTAGGGAGTGTATGGTCTACATACTAGAAGAGTAGGGAGTGTAGGGTCTAGATGCTAGAAGAATAGGGAGTGCAGGGTCTATATACTAGAAGAGTAGGGTGTGTAGGGTCTATATACTAGAAGAGTAGGGAGTGCAGGGTCTATATACTAGAAGAGTAGGGAGTGCAGGGTCTAGATACAAGAAGAGTAGGGAGTGCAGGGTCTAGATACAAGAAGAGTAGGGAGTGTACGGTTTATACACTAGAAGAGTAGGGTGTGTAGGGTTTAGATACAAGAAGAGTAGGGAGTGTACGGTTTATACACTAGAAGAGTAGGGTGTGTAGGGTTTAGATACAAGAAGAGTAGGGTGTGTAGGGTCTATACACTAGAAGAGTAGGGGGTGTAGGGTTTAGATACAAGAAGAAAGAGTAGGGAGAAGGAGTAATACAGAGGGTTACAGTATGCCACAAAGCGAACCTAGACTTTAAAAAACAACTTTAGGGCCGGTCTGAGTACAGGGGGAAACAAACAGTTACAGTTATAACAAAGACGATTTTAAATGCGTCTCTTTATTCACAAATTTTATTTTGGGACACCCTGTATACTGTCAGTAAAAACTTTTATGATATAATAAAAAAAAATAATCGAGATAATAATTATACTAAAAGTCTGTTACTAAATGTGAGTTTATTAGTGAGGTGTAGATATTAGATACATTACATAGAATTAATAGAGATCTCGCAAAAATTTGTGACTAAATAAAATTTTCTAATCTAGGTTTCTACGCAAGACGACATTTGAAGCTGCTTCACAGATTCGCAAGAACAATTGCAAAAACTACGCAAAGAGAGGACGGGAGGAACTCAGGCGCCCAGCTCCGCGGTGAGGGTTCAGCTCCGACTAGAACCAGATCTAGTACAACCGGATCCCGGCTCGTCAAAGATTTAATCTCAAAATCAGACCAACCACTAATTCTTCCATCTTTCTCTGCCATTATTCTAAAAAAAGTATTTTCACAAATATTTTTTTCTCAAATTGTAAATTATTTTCATAACTCAGAGAAACATGGTGTGTACTGTGTACTGTACTGCACCCTGTTTATAACGGCCGTCATGAAAATTATAATAAATGGATGTTTGTTCAAATAAAATGTTCAACCTATATAATCCTGGTGCTAGTATTCTCCAGTATTCCCCCCTTGAACTGCTTGTCATACTCTTGTCGATCCCTTCTACGGTGACCAGCGCAGCTGCGACCCCTTGACCTGATTGATCACGAACCATGCCACGCACACCTCCCAACCCCACTTCTACATACTTCAACAGAGCTTCTCTAAAAAAATAGTTTTATAAAAAAAATCAAGGCAATGTAAGCGTAATTTCCAGTGAGCTTCTATGCAAACATTAATCGATCTTCCTTTAAAAATGTGGAGGATAACGTCGTTTTTATGACTCTTATTCTGAAAACGTATTCATTGCTTTTGATCAGAAAGAAATGCGACGGTCAATTTTGATTTTAGCGAAAAATGCCTTTTGTAATTGTTTCTGAGAATTAAAAAATACTTAAGTATTTTTATTTGAAATTGATTCCTCTCAAATTTACGAAAAAAGTACTGTTGCAAATAGGGTATTGTTATTTGTACATGGAGGCTCGATCACTTGAAATTACACTCACAGTCCCTTTAAGGTAGATTTTAAAAATAACTGTAATTTATCACAATATATTTTATCCTATGCTAGTACATTTTTTCCTATTAGTTTACAAGTAAATTTATAGTCATGTTTGATTCAATATACATATTTTGATGGTAAAAATGCTCTAAACTGTAATTATTTGAGTCATCCATTTCGTTGTCTTTTTTCGATGATATGGTATTTTGAAATTATTTCCTCCGATATTCTGCTGTCCGGAGACCGTATTTTGATAGTAGAGTTAAACAAGGTTTCTCTTATGTAATTGTAACTTTGCATTCAGATATGGATTATTTCAACCTCCTGCCTCAATGGTCCGGGGATAATTTTCCCCTTCATTATCTGTATATAATTATAAAGTAGTAAACTTTGTTTGTTGATTTGGACGTCCGATCATAACTGACTGATTTGGGACAAATTTGATTGAGGAATTTGGGGGAATCACAGGAGTGTTCTGAGTTGGGTTTGAAAATTCGTAAATGGTTGAGTGAATTGACTTTTTTTAGCGACATTTAAGTCTTAAGACAAAGCCGCATAATGCGTTGTTAAATGACATACAAGAATGAATAATTTATATGTTGAAGGATTCTATGATTACATAATAACTGAAATTATAAGTATGTCATGTAATGAGTAATGATCAATGTTGTCTATTTGTGCATAATTTTGCATATTTTTCTCTTTTCTTTTGGAAACCTGTATTTTCAAAAATTTATTTAAACAAATTTGAACTACACCATTTATATATGTATTTATATCTTTGTGGTGAATAAATCTTTATAGTAATAATAAAACTGGTTTGCTTTCTAAAGCGAGTACAACCATTACGACAGTTTATGGGCGACAGAACTAATAATTGTTGACCAAGCGCTGAGGCTAATTGATTCAGTATACTGTGTTTAATTTACGTTTTATATTTTAGTGTTTATGGGTATACACAATTACAGGACTTGCTTGGGGGAGGGGGTCTGATTTAAGAAAACTGCGTAAACTTTTTTATTTTTTTTTTTACTTCTCTGCCTTTTATAAATTAACTCAGGCCATGTCAGGTCCAAGTACAGTGAAACCCTTAATAACGAATACATCGAAACAATTCATCAAATGTCGTATTCTTCACTTTTTGATAATGGAATGTTGCAGATATTTAGTTTTTTAATTAAATGATTATATGGAACTCTTTAAAACTGTTCCCGCATATTCATGGATATTTATTTATTTTTCGCAAACACTGAAATTTACGTAATATAGTATAAAACTCATTGAAAAATTGTCAAGACGACATTTGATAAATTCTTCCGATGTATTCGTTATTAAGGGTTTCACTGTAGACAAATGTTAAAAAAGTCACGTTGTCAAACATAAAAATTTCCTTAGAAAGGAGTTCTTTCATAACCTTCGGAGGTTCAGAGACCGGCCTCTCAGAGAGAAACTAAAACCATGATTACGTAAAAAAAATTACAATTTTATTGGATGAATCATTAATTTGCCGAGCGGAAAATAATTCCTGTTTTATAATTAGAATTTTCCAGATATAATAAAAAGTATTTTAAGAGTTCTGAAATGAATTTAAAGAGATTCTCTATTCAAACTGGAATCAATAATGAGAATATCGATTTACTACAGGATGTCCCAAGAAACATAACAGTTAAAAGAAAATTTGTAGATCTTTTATCTTTGAAATATTTTGTGTCATTTTTTTGCCAGCCTACTTTACAAACATGATTCTTGAAAACAATATTCTCTAAAAAACTGCCATGGACCATATGGGTATTTTGTCAATATTGTTCTTTTAATTGTCTCGATCTTATAACTGCAGCTGTTTCGTGGCCCAACATGTGTTCACCGAATTCAGATAAGGTTTGTTTTCCTCAATGGTGGCTTTCTCATCAAAAATAATGAATCAATTAAAGGGAGTGACCAGCAATGTATGGTAGTTGAACTGAGAATGTAATATTGTGGAAAAAAAATTTAGGATTCATTTGAGACATATAAAACGTTTTAATGATGTATAATTACTGAGTTTGAGCGCAAAGTCGACGTTCAAATCATCCATTTGGTTGGTTACGTTTTGAGAATCGAATTGTTTAAAATCATTAAATAACAACGGCGAAAAATATATCAATAATTCTCTACAGCAAACTAATTGAATGTTTGGGAACATATTTCTCAATAGAATTTGTCAATAAATCAATGTTAGAATCAATTATTCTATTGATTATTATGTTGAATTTCTTATTCTTTACGAATTTGTTCGCAGATTTCTACAAAACTCTTCAATTGTCGTCTTTTCAATAAAAATTCCAGAAAATCTACAGAAAATGTTCGTGAACAATAAGACATTACAGAAATAATAACTGAATAAGATTACTTATTTTCGATGATAAGAGATAATTTTTATTTTCTCAATCTGCTCTTAGACAGCTAATCAGTTAATTGTAGAATTTTTGTTACAATTTTTGTCGTCGTTCTTTAATAATTAAAAAAACCGATTCTCAAACGCAACCACCCAAATGGATAATTTTGAGCAACGACTTTGCCCTCAAACTCAGTAATTATACATTAATAAATTTTTTATATGTCTCAAATGAATCCTAAAAAATGTCTCTACAAATCTACATTCTCAGTTCAAGTACCATTCATTGCTGGTCACTCCCTTTAATATTGCAAAGGCTGGGGAGTAGGCGGTGAAAATATTTTAACATTTCTTATCTATTTGTTTAGGAATAGATCTGTATATCAAAATAACATTTAGACGAGTTTCTTGCTTCTTGAAATTTCTAACCAGAAACCGGTTTTTATGATATTTAAAGTTCACACGTTCACATTGAAATATTAAAAAAATGATTTATTCAACTTGAGACTCTTTTTATTTTTTGATGGCTACCTAACTATCCAGTTTCGGTTTTCTGATCTAAGAGTCAGAAATTCTGTTTTATGAATATATANATCTAGTCCAAAAACTGATACCCCTTAGAGGGTGGGTAAAGCGTTTTTTTTCTATTTTTTCTATTGTTTTTGCCTACAATGTCCATTTTGAGAACATTACGTTGAATCTTCTTGAGATTTAATTAAACGTTTATGGTAAGTTTGGCACTATTTGAACTAAAATTTAGACAAAAATTGTGAGTTGTTACTAATTTTGGAGCATTCTGAAAAGACAAAACTTAAAATCCAAACCTGGACGATATTATTGCGTATTCGAACTATTTCCTTCTGAATAATTTAGTTAAAACCGTGTGTTTGTGTGTGCTAGGCCTTCAGTTAAATGAAGAGTTTGCATTTGCCATTTCATACGGTTGTCTTTGTATATATCATACAATGAAGACTGCTTTTTATTTGAATTTTAAATTTTTACTAAGCTTTCAAACAGCATGGCTACAAATAAACATGGAAACAAAGAGAAGCTGTCATTCTCTTCATTTCCTTGTATTAAACTTGTAATACAAAAAAGCTGGTTAGAAATAAAACTTGAATAGAAAAGTTGTTTTCATTATATTGATATAAACGCCAACCACTGTACTTGATTCTGAAATAGAGATCAATATGTAGTGACTAGAAATAAAACTTGAATAGAAAAGTTGTTTTCATTATATTGATATAAACGCCAACCACTGTACTTGATTCTGAAATAGAGATCAATATGTAGTGACTAGAAATAAAACTTGAATAGAAAAGTTGTTTTCATTATATTGATATAAACGCCAACCACTGTACTTGATTNAAGCAGTCATTCAGGGGGTACTTAAACGTTTAATTGTTTTCAGAACAATCTTTTTAATTGATCTATTTATTTCTAACTGAAAATTCATTTTTATTGTTACCGCCACAAAAACTCCTTAATTTGGAGGTTCTATAAACAAAATCCAGAAACTATTTAATTGCTTTTATTGTAGCACTGTTGAGAATGAATAATACAAATTTTTCAAGAACTTGAACAATGAAGACAAAAATGTTCTTACATTTTACTTACTTCATTTATTTAATCAGCTGAGAAGATTATTATCGATAATTGTTTATGCAAACTTCATTATTACAATATTCAGTTTAATTATGTATGTTTTAGTCAGTACAAAGTCTAGTAAAAGCCTTGAGATTATCAAAACATGTCTCCTGAGCTGAAAACTCATGTATTGGATACTCTTAATCTCGATTGCTAAATCTCGATAAAATGTTGGTTTATTGCTTAATCCTCTCTTTTGTATTTCCCTGTTGGTGTTCGACCACTAAGAGTTTTCTTAATTGCACGCAAAATTTCTAGGCTTGTCATTGGCTGTTCGGTTTCCACAATCGGCACTCTGATTGGTTGCATTATTAGGACACTTTCATTGATATAATTGTAAGATTAAATCAATCTGCAGATTAAAAAAAGAGGAGATTAATCATTTATCTCGATATCCACATTTCTAAAGTTTTCAGCTCCGAATTCTTTGTGTGTACCTATTTTCCTCCCAAAGGTTCTGTAAATCTTGAGGTGAGGGGTATTTACAGCAGGAGAGCTCCAGGGTTAACTCCATACAGTTGGAAAATATATAGTTGAAGTCCTTCAGCAATAGTAGAGTAACTATAGGGATTACAGGAAACATTCTTACAATGTACTTCCACCAGGTAAAAACCGGACTTCCTCTCAATTAGAGATACTTACGAGGAAGTCCGGTTTTACATTAGATAATAGAAATCGACGATAAACGTTTGGAAATGGACATTATACAACAGACTTTAGATAATAGGCAATGGATTTCAATAGACAAAAGACGTCGTTGGACTAATGACATAATACATTATTGTCTTTAGAAAAGGACAATATGAAAGAAAATACATTAAACATTAAACATTTGACAATATAAATTAGACATTAAACATAAAACAATAAGCATCAGCCATTAGTTACTAGACATTTAACCTTAGATAATAGACAATAGACAATTAGCAATAGACAATGGACAGTTAAAAAGGACGTTAGACATTATAACAAGAACAATATCCTAAAAATCATAAATTAGAATTTAGAAATTTTTATATTTTGACATTAGACAAGGGAAGTTAAACAAAAGACATTTCTAGATTGTAATCGACATTAGATAAATCGCAATTTTCTGCTGTTCTTCTATTCCTGCATCCCACCCTCCACTATATACCACTTAGCTCCGTTAGTTATCCCACCAGGAAAATTATCATCATGACATAATCCAGCTCCCTGAAATATTTAGATTATACAGAGAAGATAAATAGTTACAGAGCTACCAGTTTAACTTTATTCTACATAATCCAGTTCCCTGGAATATCTAGATTAAACAGAGATAAAATAGTTACAGAGATGTCAGTTTAAGTTTATTCTACATAATCCAGTTCTCTGGAATATCTAGATTAAACAGAGATAAAATAGTTACAGAGCTACCGGTTTAAATTTATTCTACATAATCCAGTTCTCCATGGAATATTTTGTTTATACAAGTTGGCAGTTTAACTTGTCATAAAACAATATTTAGCTAATACAGAAATTATGAATAGTAACGAAGCTAAAACCAATATTTAGATAGAGAGGATGTATAATTACAAAGCTGGTAATCAAACTTATATCTAAAAACTATTTGAAAATATGTCGTCTTCCTACTCAAGGGTAAAAGTTTTCTTTTCTAAAATTGCATTTTTGGTTTCAAAAAATCTCTTTTAACTGTGAATATAAAGCAAATGACCAAATAAAACACTTAAATATTTGCAAAAGATAGAGATAGTTAAATTTTTCGTTATATAATCATGCTCAAATATCACAAAGAATGTTATTGCAAACTCTGTAATTCATTAGTTCTCTCTGACGCTCATCCAAGTAACGGCTTCATGAATAAGTTCTGTCGAAATTACGACATAAAAATTTAAATATTAATTCTTATAAAAATTTCAAAGTTTCTGAAGAAAAAGAGAAGAATGATATAATTGTTTGATAAATATATTTACAGAGGAACCCTGAACCAACGTGATATTTGGAAAGGAACCTTGAACCAACGTGATATTTGGAAAGGAAACTTGAACCAACGTGATATTTGGAAAGGAACCTTGAACCAACGTGATATTTGGACAGGAAACTTGAACCAACGTGATATTTGGAAAGGAAACTTGAACCAACGTGATATTTGGAAAGGAACCTTGAACCAACGTAATATTTGGAAAGGAAACTTGAACCAACGTGATATTTGGAAAGGAACCTTGAACCAACGTAATATTTGGAAAGGAAACTTGAACCAACGTAATATTTACAGAATAAATATAGTTGTCTAACACTAACTTTGTCACAATACAATTACTCTTACAGTATAAAAAATATAAAATAGAATATAAATGTAAGGAAAACCAATAGAACAGTTAGTTTCGTATTCAGGAAAAAGATACACTTAAACTTTTAACCCTATCCCTGCTGCATGGGGTACTTGAAAACCAGGATACGGTAGGGACCCCCCCCCCCTCTAAATCCCATGTTTGATGTCCAAATATGAAAAATGATATTTCATTGGAAAGCTCATATGGTCTACTTTTAAAATATGCAAAAAATAGAAAATTTGCAAATATTGATTAATTTTGCAAAAATCAGTTATGTAGTAAAAATGTTTGCAGAAAAAGAAAAAAAATGATAAAATATCCATTTTTGAAAAGCCTTTGACCATGCCATTTCAAATATGCAAAAAATTTAGCAAAATTGTTTTATAACTTGATGTGTAATAATTAAGAAAAACTAAAAATGTGCATATTTCTTTTGACAGGTCGTATGCAAATAATTTGCAAAACTTTGTAATCCGTTTCCTTGTGTTCCAAAAAGCTAAAAATTATCAAATCTGACGACTGAAAGTGAGTCAAAACAAAGATTTAGTTTGTTACAGGAAAAAGCAGTCATTCAGGCATTGTGCCTGAGGGCCCAGGCAGTTAGAATAAAAGCCCGGTTTTATAACAAAAGGGAGGGCAATGGATATTTAGGAAAAGTCAGAAAATTTCAACAGCTTCAGACCAATACTTTTTGAGTTATGTAAAAAAAACTACAGGGGAGGGATTCAAATTGACCCCCCCCCCCCCCAGCAGGAATAGGGTTGCAATTACATCATTGAATAAGTCCTATACAACTTGGAAGAATTCTGAAAAAATGGATATCTTAATTTTTCTGGTTGAAAATTGACAATTTTCTATTATGGGTTCTCTTGAAGAAACAGAGACGAGAAACTGACGGAATTATTTTTTTAAGATGTTAATCTAAATGCTACTAAATCTTTCTCTTTTTGATCAGATTAAGTTTTACTGGCAAGAGGGGTACTTAAAATTAGATCTTTAGTTTTTTGATTTCAACTTCTTTATTATTATCTAAAATTAAGAAATTCAAATATTTTAATAAATATTTAATTTTTTTCCCTGAAAACTGTAAAATGTTGAACCTGGTGCATTGTTGCATGTGAGTTTGCATATAACTGCGCCAGAGCCCGGAATGTTGCATCATCGCCTGTTTTGGATTCCTGAAAGAATATAAAGATTGATATTTTGAGCTGGCAACTCTTGTGTTGGATAATCTCGCTTGCTTAATCTCGATATCCAGTTTGAACACTTTGATTTACTGCTTAATCCTCTCTTTTGGATATTCCTGCTGGATTCCGAACATTAAGAGTTGCGCAAAATTTCCTTGCTTCTGATTGGCAGTTTGGTTTCTGAAAACGACATTCTGATTGGTTGCAGATTAAAAAAAGCAGTTCAAGCATTGATCTCGGAATCCACAATACAAGAGTTCTCAGCTCTAATTTGACATTTCTGAAAGAATTCTGATCACTCTTATTTACTCAGATTGATCCAGAACGGTAGGATCGGGATGAAAAATGACTTTACCTCTCCCTCCTCTCCCTTGCTGTCATCCCAGGGATAGTTTGCCACTACAGCTCCATCATGGAGGTTGGCTGACAGCAGGAACGGATTCTCCAGGATCCAGTTTATCATGGAGATAACCTCAGGCTCCCTTGTAAATAATGTTCTAAGGAATTGAGTTATTTCTACAATCTAATTCTTATATCTTTGCAACCGGATATTGGTAACCTCTGAAATTTCCAACTATTGATTCTGTTAGATCAAATAAGCTTCGTTTGAAATTTCTAAGATTTATACTATAAGGTTGCAAAGATATAGGGGATAGAAAATTTGAGTTTGTGGCAAAAACTCAATTCCTTTGCACAGTGCCCAATTCACAACGATATCCTTGAAACCTTTCTCTGATGATAATTGTGGAAGATATATTGTCATTTTTCTAGATTTAAAAATTTAAAACATTCTGATAATTCCTACATATTTTCTTGCAGTAGAAATGCGCAAGTCACTTTTGTAGAGTTCCACAGTTGAAAATATTTTTTTTTCAAATTATAAACATTGATATCTAATTGACATTCAATTTTATTTAAGGGGATAACAGCCCCTTAAATAAAATTTATTTTGTGGCGAATGTTTAGCTCTTTTGCAAATGAAGCTTTTAAGTAAAAGTGTGCTTAAAGCATCAAAACCATGATTGTAACGTGATATTTTTTTCAAATTCTACACCAGATTACAAACTGATTCAAACGAAAATTGTTTAATGGGTTTCACATTCACTAGAAACCTGATACGATGGCTCGTTTTTAGTCATTAAATTTTGGAATAAAAAACCTACTCTTTATCAATGACGACTTATTTTTTTGTGAAAAAATAACAATACATTGTTCTGCCAAAAACAATATGTTTACCATGGATATATAATAGATGGATAGATGGATATATAATAGTCAAGGTTTGATGTAATTTTTTCGCTGGGGTGTTATGCAGTACGTTAGACATTGGACCCTGGAACTTATAATTTGTCTTTGATTTTCGTAAAGTTAATAGATGTAAAAGGAGTATAGAAAAACATTGTAAGTCTGTAAAACTTTAAGATTTAGCCTCCTTCTTTGTATTATAAAAATTGAATTGGAGATACTAAAGATTTAAACAACCTTGCTGATATTTAATATTTTGAATTTTAAACAAATTTCTCAATATCTTGGTCAATTCTTAAGGTAAAAAAACGGCAGACCACATTTTGGAATTCTGAAAACAAGGCGCCTTTGATGCTACCAACTCTTTGAAGAAAATGCTATGATCACAAGATTTTAGCTACAGTATCTCATTTCTGCTTACTCCAGGGCCCACTATCTACCAAAGTTCTTCTCTAATTTGGACCCTGAACTTCACTACAAACTTTTTTAAAAGTACAAATTATTTTTATAGAATGAACAATAGCCAGAATAAAAATTTGTTACAGTAAAACCTAAAATTTGCTATGCAGAGGTTTTAGAAATTTCTTGAAAATATCTAGGGTCCACTGAGATATAACAGCTGCGTAGCCCACCGACTAAGTTACATGTACACTAGCCCAGAATAGTATAGATCGGTAGATAGAAGCATACATATAAGCGGGCTGTGGTTTTTACAAAGCATTTATGCGTCTAAAGATTTCCAAATTAACCAATACAGATATTTCTATATTTACGTGTCGAGTGAAACTGCCACAGTTCTATTGAATTAAAACCTTAATTGTTGTTATGGAAAAATACCATGAGTTGCCAACAAAAAGTTTGTTTCTCCAATTTTGTAAAAATGTAAACTTTCCAAAACTAAGGTATAATCAGCAATATTATTTCCAATACTAAGGTATAATCAGCAATAATATTTCCAAACCTAAGGTATAATCAGCAATAATATTTCCAAAACTAAGGTATAATAATCAGCAATAATATTTCCAAACCTAATGTATAATCAGCAATAATGTTGGAAATAACGAATACAAATTAAAGAATAAAGTTTTTTCAAAAGAAAATGATCCAAGTACTTTGATTTAAAGAGCTAGATAGGGTGGAGATGTTTTCCACACTGAAAATTTACAAAATGCTGGTGGCCCAAATATTTTCGTATTCATGCTATGAATTGTACCAACAAGTTGTGTTGGCCGTTTAGGTAATATTTCTTTCAACTGTTCATCTCGTTCATCGGTTTCAGTCAGCAGAAAAGTACTTAAATAAAAAGCACAGCTGGTTCTCTGAATTAGCATATACAAAGCAATACAGGCCAGAGGAATTCAGTCTGATCTGTCAGTCAACAAACTCAAATTTTCTTATCCATATATCTTTGCAACCTGATGGTGTCAACTTATGATATCTCAAACTAAGATATTTTTATCCAGCAGACCTCAGAGTTTAAAATATCTAAGGTACTTGAAATTGGGCTGCAAAATATAAAGATTAGAAAATCAAAGTTTGTGGCAAAGACTCAATTCCTTAGTCCTGACAAACGTAAAATGGTACCAATTAAAATTGAAATATTTTATAGTTAGCCCTAAATTTTGTTTAGCAACCGTAACATGTTTAACCTGTTCTCCTTGAGCTGGTTCCTGGATAGGTTCTCATGGTTCCAGGTTGGGAATGCTCGGTTCAGATCAACTCCGTTAGCATTGTGTCTACCGGAGCCAAGATGGTGAGCTGAAATTTGTTACGTTTTTGAAATTTTTATCATTTAAACCAAAATAGGTTACAGGCCAGGGTCAACCTAAATCTCTTCATTACTATTTCTTTTTCATAATGCTTCCCAACTTCCCAAGGATAGTTTCCCAAGCGACAACTTCCCTTAAGTCTGTCCTAGCCGCAGCGCTCTGCCCCTGGCATGTTCTAGTCGCGGCACCCGGTCCCCTAGCCCATCCTAGCCGCAGCGCATGGCCCCCCAATTGCAGCGAGAGGTGCCTCAGAGGGCCTAACCTAACCTTTGGGAAGTTGCCACTTGGGAAGTCGCCCTTGGGAAAATGCCTTTTGGAAAGTACTTAGCACCTTTTAAAATACATAAAGGGTTACCCACAAAGGATTAGACTTCAGAGACGACTGTAAGAACTTTATACTTTATACTAAGGCATACTATTTATTTCAACCCTGATATCGTCATATTCTTAGTTATTAGATAATTATTTCTACAAATTGGAGATCGTAGAAATAATAGTGTATGATTTATTAAATCAGATTACTATGAAAAAAATAATTTAACTCTATGAAAATGTTTCTTTGTCCATCCATCTTTGTCTTTGTAACGTTCTATCTGTAAAATATCCTATCTATGAAATGTCCAATCTATCTGTAAAATATCCTATCTATGAAATGTCCAATCTATCTGTCTATAACCTAAACTCTTCCTTGCATTATGAATCGGTACTTATCTATTCTTTTTGTATTATCCTTTCTATCATTTTGTTTGCACCGTATTGCTGTTTGAAATGATCAGTACTCGCTATGTCTAGGATTCAAGTTCGTTCACATTTATATTAAAGGTCATTTATTTTACTAATTGATAAAAACATGCAATTGAATACGTAACTAGTTTATTTTTGTTTTTGGAAAAGTTTTTCATTTATAGCCTCTCTGCGCACTATCTATCTATCTGCTGACGTCATTTAACTTTTAGATAATCTTACCGTCACACACAAACTTGAGTTTAGATAATCTTACAGTAACATACATTCGGGATACTCTAGTTTTGATAATCTTACCGTCACATACAAACTTGAGTTTAGATAATCTTACAGTAACATACATCCGGCATACTTGAGTTTAGATAATCTTACTGTCACATACGAACCTGAGTTTAGATAATCTTACAGTAACATACATCCGGGATACTTGAGTTTAGATAATCTTACAGTAACATACATCCGGGATACTTGAGTTTAGATAATCTTACCGTCACATACATCCGGGATACTTGAGTTTAGATAATCTTACCGTCACATACAAACTTGAGTTTTGATAATCTTACCGTCACATACATCCGGGATACTTAAGTTGCTGTTCTCGAACCCGTCTGGGTTTAAGGACGGAAGGATATGAAGATCTATGTTGTCAATTAGAGACGAGATCCTAGAGTTTCTTTCGTAGTTCTCAACAAGATACCTATAATATACAGGATGGTTCACATCATATTAGAGTAAAAAAGTAGATCTTGTATTTCATGGATTAATATTTTTTATGTAAATGCGCTTATCAAGTAAAAATATATATGTGTGCCTATCTAATCAGTTGATTAACATATAAAATTATATATTATATTTTCAGAATCTTTAATTGCATATACCTAAATATATACGTGTATCTATCTAATCAGTTGATTAACATATAAAATTATATATTATATTTTCAGAATCTTTAATTGCATATACCTAAATATATACGTGTATCTATCTAATCAGTTGATTAACATATAAAATTATATATTACATTTCAGGAAACTATAATTGCATAAACCTAAATTAAACATAGTCCGCTTTGTAAGAGGTGAATGAACTGGATAAAAACATGGTGACAACTGGAGTTCAGTTTCTACTTAATTTTTCTCATCCTCCAATATTTTTTATAAAAGATAGATACAAGTTGTATTCCGTAAAACAACCTCACGTTGAAATTTAGCTACTTCTGCGTGTATCTATCTATTTATTTGTTCAGTAATGCACTTCTAAAAAGGTTGTATACATAGAGAATAGAATATATATATAGAGAGGAATTTACTAGAAAAAAGTGTAAAACGGCCATTTTGTTGTACTGTTTCCATATACTGCAGGTGTACTTCACATAGTCTAATCCAACGCTTGGTGAAAGATTAAATATTGAATTGAAAGACAACCACGTGGAAGAAAGATATTGAAAGATCAAAATTTGAAGAAGTACCGGGAAAATATAAACTATTCTCCTACTAAACAGTATACCTGGAGAATATAAACTATTCTCCTACTAAACAGTAAACCTGGAGAATATAAACTATTCTCATACTAAACAGTAAACCTGGAGAATATAAACTATTCTCCTAGTATACCTGAAGAATATAAAATATTCTCCTGCTAAACAGTATACCTGGAGAATATAAACTACTCCCTACTAAACATTATACCTAGAGAATATAAACTACTCCCTACTAAACATTATACCTAGAGAATATAAACTACTCCCTACAAAACAGTATGCCTGGAGAATATCAACTTCTCTCCTACTGAACCGTATACCTAGAGAATATAAACTGCTCTCCTACAAAACAGCACACCTGAAGAATATAAACTACTCCCTACTAAACAGTATACCTGGAGAATATAAACTACTCCTACTAAACAGTATACCGGGAGAATATAAACTACTCTCTTACAAAACAGTTTACCTGGAGAATATAATCTACTCCCTTCTAAACAGTATACCTGGAGAATATAAACTACTCCTACTGAACAGTATACCTGGAGAATATAAACTACTCTTACTGAACAGTATACCTGGAGAATATAATCTACTCTCTTACAAAACAGTATACCTGGAGAATATCTACTCTCTTACAAAACAGTATACCTGGAGAATATAAACTACTCCCTACTAAACAGTATACCTGGAGAATATAAACTACTCTCTACTAAACATTATACCTAGAGAATATAAACTGCTCCCTACAAAACAGTATACCTGAAGAATATAAACTTCTCTCCTACTGAACAGTATACCTGGAGAATTTAAACTACTTTCTACTAAACAGCATACCAGGAGAATATAATCTACTCTCCACTAAACAGTATACCCGGAGAATATAAACTACTCTCCACTAAACAGTATACCCGGAGAATATAATCTACTCTCCACTAAACAGTATACCTGGAGAATATAAACTACTCTCTACTAAACAGTATACCTGGAGAATACAAACTACTTCCTACTAAACAGTATACCTGGAGAATATAAACTTCTCTCCTACTGAACAGTATACCTGGAGAATATAAACTACTCCTTCTGAACAGTATACCAGGAGAATATAATCTACTCCCCACTAAACAGTATATCCGGAGAATATAAACTACTCTCCTACTAAACAGTATACCTGGAGAACGCAAGAAGAACTTCTCTTCCCACTGCCTCGTTACCATGCATATTAGCGATGAGTTTCACCATTGGCCGAAGCTTTGGGCGTTCTCTAGCCACGCCCCCAGCTATTTGAAGCACAGCCAGGTCCCGCCCTCGGACACTTGTACCCACATTATATCGTCTAAAAAGAAATATTCAATAATTATAATCATAGTACCTGAATATTATATTATAATCATAGTACTTGAAAATATTAAATCATCAATTCAAAATATTCTGATGATAATTCGTGATTTTTCATAATTTTGATAATATTAAAAATCCCATATTTATTCTGATTTTACACATTCCTGAAGGGAGCACTAATTTTAAATATCAAAGGAAGGTGTTTCTTCGTTTTAAAAATAAGATTTTTGGTTAATCTTATAAGTATTTTCTTATATATAGAACATTATAATATATTCATCCTATTTATAGTCTGGATACACTATAGTATATCTGGATATGGATAAACTAGTATATACAACAATAAAACCTGGATACACTATGTTTACCTGTACCTCTAGCATACCTGGAAATATGCGGATATGATGAAACCAATGTATCCAACTCTTGAACTAAGGCTGTATAATTATGATATCCCGATATCTCTACCCCAACAGTTTTACCATCGGATTCTAGACAAAAAGAATTCAAACGTTTAAGAAATCCCTCCTCTTGTAAAATTTAAATATGTAAATAAAAATATTGTTGTTGCCAATTCCGGGGGTTTGATTTCGATATATTTAATATTTAATATATGTTTATCTTACTGTAGTTTTATAAGTGCAGAAGATAAACTCATGAACTCATGAACTCATCAACTCATGAACTCATCAACTCATCAACTCATCAACTCATCAACTCATCAACTCATCTACTCATCAACTCATCAACTCATCAACTCATCAACGCATCAACTCATCAACTCATCAACTCATCAACTCATCAACTCATCAACTCATCAACTCATCAACTCATCTACTCATCAACTCATCAACTCATCAACTCATCAAATCATCAACTCATCAACTTATCAACTCATCAACTTATCAACTCATCAACTTATCAACTCATCAACTTATCAACTAATGAACGCATTCACTCATCAACTCATCAACTCATCAGCTCATCAACTCATCAACTAATCAACTTATCAACTAATACACGCATTAACTCATCAACCCATCAACTCATCTACTCATCAACTCATCAACTCATTAACTCATCAACTCATCAACTCATCAACTCATCAACTAATCAATCTTTCAACTGATAAACTAATCAGCCGATTAACTAACCAACTCATTAAATCGTCAATTGATCAATTGATTAGCTTATTAACTCATCTAAATGATATCTTAATGAGAAGGTGCTACAACATAAACTAGCTATAATTACCGACTCCAAAAGCAGATTTAAGGATACATATCAAAATAATCAAACAATTCATTTTTTCAATTTATCTAGAATTTTTGGTCAAGTTGGAATCCTTAAAGAAAACTCTTTTGTTACACGGAATTCTAGAATGAATCAAGAGCTGAAAAAAGTCACCCGAGAAATATTCTTTTTAAAGTTGAAAACCGATATTTTAAATAGATAAAGGCTTGAATAAAGGAAGATTTTATATTGAGAAAAGAAATCATTCATTCATTAATTAGTATAATGTTTATGCACATTTATTACTCAGTTACAATTACCAACTATTAAAACCATCGAACTAATTGAGTGCACAGTATTCACATCTAATTAGCTTTCCCAATTAAGATCCATGGCAACCCTTCATGCACTCAGATTTGCATGAAAACAGAAATCCAGGGGAACAAATTCTAGAAACTAATATTGTTCATTAACATTATATTTAAGTTTAACAGCAATACCTTGCACTCTAAATTTCCAAATTAAAAAAAATCTTATTTTGAAGCAAAAGTTGGATCGCTGCTACAAAAAGCCAAATAAAAATAATGTCTTATATTCAATAAAAAATCGCTTTTTTGGCAGAACTCTAACTTATTTGGCCAGTTTAGCTATTTTTTGTTGAAAATAAACGATTTATGTTCGCTTTATTGGTAGCAATCCAACTTTTGTTGCCAAATGAACGATCTTTCTTATTTCAAAATTTAGAGTGTGAGTTTATTTTGATATTGATTGAAAATGACATAAAGGAAGTTGCGCAGCTCCAACACCAAACCGTGGAAGATTGCTACAACTTCATAAATCTAATGACTCTTGTTTCCTTCAAACGTTACCTACACTATACAACTCAAGTATAGATGTAATCTTTTTGGTCAATCAACTTAATATAATAATGATGTCGATAATTAATTTAACAGTTTTATTTTTATCCAACTCTATGTTGGATAAAAACGACCAGGCTGCATTGTTAACAGTCAATGTTAACAAATTCACCGATTAAACAAAGTTTTAATTCTAATGTCGCTAATCGAGTGCAGTGACAATTCACTTGCCGCCAAACTATTTACTACTTATTATTGTTAGTCAATACAGTTCAATCATCTTTTTAGTCAATTGAATTTCTCTATTAATGAGGTAGATAATTGAGCACAGCTTATACTTTACTATTCTCTGCTCCGCATTATCTATTTTCTATTTCTCTTGCTAATTGTACTAATTGTAATATAGCTCAATATAAATGATAAAAAATTTCGTGCATTTAAACAATTGTGATTTTAATACGAAACATTATTGTTAAACGAATACCTTAAAGAAAATAAAAAAAATATTTATTTTTTAAAGGAATTAAAAAAAAATATAATAAACTGCAAGTTAAACTAAGGTAAGAACTTTTGTGCTGTGAAACTTGGGATATCCTTTGGTAGTCATACCATACATGGATAACTTGGTTTGAGGGATCGAGCAATTCTCAATGAGTTTAAAAGTGTTCACGTTGGATATTGAGATCCAGAGTTCAAGGTTAAAGACACTTCACAAAAACATTATCGACCTCTGATAATTTTAATGCAGCAAACAAATTTAAATCCATTTAAATTAATTCCAATAACTGTAATTACAAATTAAAGATTCAAGCTCTTTTATTATGTAACTATCTCCGATATCGATTTTTAACATATCATTTTTGTTTGCTGTTTAGTACTAAGCAATTTCGTTTCTTGCAGTAAGAAGCACTTCCATTTCCTGCATTTTTGATCACTTCCGTTTCCTGCAGTACGGATCACTTCCGTCTCTGCATACAGTACGGAACACTTCCGTTTCATACAGTACGGAGCACTTCCGTTTCATACAGTACGGAGCCCTTCCGTTTCATACAGTACGGAGCAATTCCGTTTTCTGCAGTATGGAGCACTTCCGTTTCAAACAGTACCACTTCCGTTTTCTGTAGTATGGAGCACTTTCGTTTAGGAGTACGGAGCACTTAAAACTTTTTCAGATATTAATTTTTTAAATATCAGTTTGTTTGCTGTTTAGCATGGAACACTTCCGTTTCCTGTAGTGCAAAGCACTTCCGTTTCCTGCCTTACGGAGCACTTTCGTTCCCTGCAGTACAAATCACTTCCGTTTTCTGCAGTACGGAGCACTTCCGTTTCCTGCAGTGTAGTTTTTGAAACGGACGAGATTTTCTTTTTCCCGTTGATGTTAATTTAAACTTTCTAATTATATCAATATTATGTAAAGATTAAGTAATAAAAAAATATTAACACTAAATAAGTGCAATATATTTTTACTTGTTATGCAACTTTAAAATTGTATAAACACCATATTTTTGTTGTTAAAATGTTAAAAGACCCAGACCGTAATTAATGATAAACCCTTATCAATTCTAGGCGAGTTTGCTTTTGCAATTGGTCTCCACTGAATTGTAGAACTTTCCGCAGATTGGATCTTAAAGAGCAATGCAATTAGATTTTAAAAATGTATAATTGATTTCTTTTCTCTCTGCACCTAATTAGATAAAGTTCAAGGGTAAACATGAAAACTTTTTCCCTTTGGATATTATTTCCTATCCCTTAAACTAATTGCATTGTTACAGTGATAACCAGAAAACAATGGAATATGAAGACGACATTATGGCAAAATCAAGTGTATTTTATGTTGTTACAAAGCAAATAGTTTTACTAGTCACTAATTAAATCACTAATTTAGTGAGACGGGCTTGTTCCAACTGCACATTTGCAGTTTCTCATGCTTATTGGACTTTTTAAAGTTAAAACTTGATTATAAAATCGTCTTCCTATTTTAGAGTTTTTTGGTTAGCACTGTAGTTTTTCTTTGAGATTCACGGAAATACAATAAACAGACTAACATTTTCTCCCACTGCACAGTTTTAGCTCATTAACTCATTAACTCATCAACTCATCAACTCATTAACTCATCAACTCATCAACTCATCAACTCATCAACTCATCAACTCATCTACGCATCAACTCATCAACTCATCAACTCATCAACTCATCAACTCATCAACTCATCAACTCATCAACTCATCTACTCATCAACTCATCAACTCATCAACTCATCAACTCATCAACTCATCAACTCATCAACTCATTAACTCATCAACTCATCAACTCATCAGTTCATCAACTCATCAACTCATCAACTCATGAACTCATCAACTCATCAACTCAACAACTCATCAACTCATTAAATCATCAACTCATCAATTCATCAATTCATCAAATGCAACAAATAAAATGGGCTCCGGGCGGGATCTATTCTAATTAATTAATTATATTTAAAAATCTCTAATTATACTTACCATCTCCTAAAGTATTTACAATGATTAATAGTAGAATTAACAAATGATACATGTTCCTGAACTATTAGCCTAAACCATAAAGGTTCAGGTTGGTTCAATATCTCCGGATACACTAAACTATACTGGAGAAACCCTTGGTAACGACTGAGCAGGAGGAGAGAGTTCACACGACTGAGAAAGATGTACATTACCTGTATTTAGTATACTTAGTTCACAATATATAAACTCATGCAACCAAGGACTACATTCAGGCAGTATAGTTGAATACAGGCAGAACTTGGGTTTTGGCAGTAGTTTGGAAATCCAATTCAAGTAATATTAGGATACAGACATCAATTTGATACAGAAAGTGGGATAAAGCCATAGGCAGTATAATTTGGTATGTCAGACTCAGAAAACAGTTTGATACAGTGTTCACCTAAATATTGTGAAATAATTGTCGGTTTCATTCGGTCTTTTCATTTGCTTTCAGTATTTTTGTTGTTTTTATTTCTGAAAATATTAGGGGCAAATTTTTAATAAACCAGTTTCAAAGTAGTCCTGTGTGACTTTTCTCCATTTCTTTAACAAAGAAAGCATAAGTTATTTCTAAATGTTAAAAAAAATCAGATACAATTGTAAAGAAATCCTTGGTGAAATTTTATACTTTAAAGAGATGTCCCTGTTCAGTGTTCAGTACAAATTAAAGATGTCCCTCTTCAGTGATCAATACAAATTAAAGATGTCCCTGTTCAGTGTTCAGTACAAATTAAAGATGTCCCTGTTCAGTGCTCAGTACAAATTGAAGATGTCCCTGTTCAGTGTTCAGTACAAATTGAACATGTTCCTGTTCAGTGATCAGTACAAATATAAATGTTCCTCTTTGAATTACATACAGGGTGTCCCACATCAATTAGACCGCGTCAATGGGTCTAAATTACGATTTAGGGGACAAATCAGGAAAGTTAAGAAAGATTAATCATTTTAAAACATTTGATAAGGCGAATAGAAAATTTTGTTTGCAGAAAATGCTAGATGTTTTGAGTATTATGTGCGTACTTTGGCGTTAAAGATTAGAGATAATCTAATATGATATGGAACGCTCTGTAGACTCAAATATTATAAAAGTAACTTCCATAATATTTTTGAGAGGAATGCAAACAAAGCTCACTCTGGGCAGTACTTGATGTGTTTACAATATAATAGCTTCTTGGTTTACATTACATCTAGAATCAAGATTATATTAGCGGTTTATCAATTTATATTTACAGATACATTGGATACGACTTTTAGTATATCAAAAAATCATCCCCTTCCGTGAGATTAAAGTGTATAAGTGTGTAATGTCAATGATTAAATTCAAAAACTAAATTTGATTTAAGCCCTTATACCGAAGCTTCGTTTAAATGTCTTCTTCCATTATTCCACAGGGAATCCAGAGATAAAATTGTTCATGGAGTTTTAGCCTCGTGTTCCTTGTATGTTTTGAATGTCTTCTTCCATATACTGTAAAAGATACTGAAGACTTTTTGCATTTTATTTCGTAAAAATATCTTTTACTTTGAACTCCTAATTTTACTATAATATATGACCCATTAAAATATTCTTTATTTCTCTCTTTACACATAGATATTATCCATAAGAAAATAAGTATTCAAAACATGATTTGAAGTTTTATTGTATTATTAATAATATAGATTCATATATATCTATATATCTGGTATATACAGGGATATCGTCTTTGTTATGAATTAGCATTGTAATACCTAATTTCAAAAGCCATAATATTATTATTTATTTATTTTATGAAAAGGGTAAAAGACTGTAAAGATATGTCTATAATGTGTCCGCAAGATGAACAGTGAAGACGGACAAGTTTACTCTATTTGTATACTGCAATTTTCTTGTTTTACTAAGTACAACCGAGGCATGGTCAAAACATAAACAAACAAAATGTGAACATAGCAGACGAAACTCTTACAGATTACAACTTTCTCAGTAGGTATCAAATGCTTGAATAAGCCATTAACAATGCAAGGCAAAAGACTTAATTTAAACTTTGAATTGTCGTATTCTATCAGTTTCATGTCCTCTTTACGGTCTCATTTTTTGTGGGTAGCCCTGTATTTTCATTTTTCGGACCTCTTCTGGTTCCAGTATATGAGGATTACAGGGTTAACCGCAAAGGAGACTTCAGATCGTCAAACAATTTGGAATTTTCAAAATCTCAGAAAAAAATCGATAAAAGAGCAACAATTTAAATTTCTCAAAATAGTATTTTTGTAATTAAGTTTTAAAATATACGTAAAGGTTTTCTATTTAATATTTTCTTATAACAATGGTTCCATTAATCTGTAAACTTTAGTTTTTTTGTCAAATCCTTTAGCAACCATTGAAAAATAATATTAAACACTACGGATCAAATTCGACCTTCAAATCGTCATATTGAAAAAGTGAAAGGTCGTAATTAAAGTCTCATCCTATGTGGGTAACCCTGTAAATATCATAGAGAAAACAGAAAATAAACTCTCAGACTGAAAATATTAGAGCAGCAATATATTTAGATTATCCAGATCTAGTCAATTCACTATAGTTTCAGTAGAAGTTGATATTTCCATTTACTGATATCCCCGATTTAAGGATTAATATCTCTAATTGGATAATGAGATAGATAGAAAGATAGATATTACCGCCAAACTATTTCTATTGGTTCAGAATAGACATCAAACACATGACTGAACTCTGATTGGATAATGAGATAGATAGAAAGATAGATATTACCGCCATACTATTTCTATTGGTTCAGAATAGACACCAAACACATGACTGAACCCTGGTTGGATAATGAGATAGATAGAAAGATAGATATTACCGCCATACTATTTCTATTGGTTCAGAATACACATCAAACACATGACTGAACCCTGGTTGGATAATGAGCTAGATAGAAAGATAGATATTACCGCCATACTATTTCTATTGGTTCAGAATACACATCAAACACATGACTGAACCCTGGTTGGATAATGAGATAGATAGAAAGATAGATATTACCGCCATACTATTTCTATTGGTTCAGAATACAGATCAAACACATGACTGAACCCTGGTTGGATAATGAGATAGATAGAAAGATAAATATTACCGCCATACTATTTCTATTGGTTCAGAATAGACAACAAACACATGACTGAACCCTGATTGGATCAGGCTCTAATGGAGCGGCAAGTAAATAGAAAATCTTTAAATCTTTAAAACAATATCATAAAAATCATATTTTGTACTTTGAGAATGTTCTCTGAGAGTGAGGGATACGCTAATATCTCCTTTTTATAAGGAAAATTTTACGATTTTTCAATATTACACAATATTCATTTACAATATATTTATTGTACATACAAAACATGATATAAAATGGAAAAATACTCTGTGTTTGGCAAACAAAAAGTTGAAAAATGTTTTTTTTAATATAGATTTTTTTTAAAAAGAAATTTTTTGAGAAAAAATAGTCATTTTTGGAAAAAAAATTTAAAAATTTACATCCATTTTTCAAGGGTTTTTCAATTTTTAGATCTGTAGCCTAAATAACAAAAGAGTGTTTTTAGATATACCAGCTATACATTAAAAAGCGAACATAGAAATAGTTACGTATTTTGAAACTGAAAGAGATTGTGATGTCAAACGTCGCACAACAATTTTATTTAAATTGGACCTTATTCTTTTCCTAATGTAAAACAATAATAACAAAAATCCCATAAAAATATTTGCCGCAATAACGACCTCCAAGTCGTCTCTCAACATATGGTTCAACTTTTTTTCCACCAAAATTGAGGATGGAGATAAACTTAATATTTTAAATTCATTTTACACAGTTGGACCCATAAAGCTCTGGAAGAGAAGGTCGAAATTTAGATATGTTTCATGTTGGATGGGTTAGTTAAACTTGTAGCTTGAGTCTAAACACAGTTAAACAAACTGTTTTACTTTGTGTAACCATCAACACCTATTTAATTTACAAGATTCTGGTGCTCCCTAAAATGTGAAGGACCATTTATGAAAAAACCACTGCAGACACTGTGTAACTGTAGAGTTTGGAGGAAATTTAAGAGACAACTGACAGTACAGAATTAGTTTAGTCTTTCTCTTTACATTAATCTCCGTATGCTCGTTATTCCAAATCACCGAATGAATCATTATAGCAGGTAACATATTTAGGCCTAAATCAGATTATCAAAATTTTTGCAAATGTTATGCTGAAAAAGTTTAAGGTCTTCATTAAAGTATCATCCTTTTGTGGGTAACCCTGTAATGTAGAATAATTGCATAATAAAAAACATGTAGAAAACAAAATTTTATTAACTTTAATTTAACATTTTATTTTACAGAAAACACTTCACTGGTTATTTTGTAAAATAAGTTTCGACAGCTTCAACGTAATCTCTTTTTTTTAGACTTTCATTTAGTAATTTTGCATGATGTTTCATACGAATACACGTATAACAGGATATCACCTACTTCGTGAGTTCATATGCATGATTGTCCATTGTCTTAAAGCAATTTCCATGGACACTAAAAAAATTGGTGATTATTTTTAAAATAAGATAGTCAACATAATACTTTTTGGTCAGCCAATTTTTTTCTTTCAGTTCAATTTCAATAATTTTTTCTGAAGTTTCAGTTATTTTTAACACAAATGGGCTTGGATATGTAAGAAAATTTCCAAAATCTCTGGTTTTTGTTAAAGTAATTGATTCAGGCTGGTTGAATTTAATGAAAGAAACACAAAGATTACAATTTAGTTTCCGTAATATTTGTTTAACCACGAATCCTGATACATACTCGACTACATTTGGTTTATATTCTGTAAAGGTTACATTTTTTATATCATCAACAGTAACATCATCAAAATTATAAATATCGCAAATATAATTAAAGTTTCTGGTTCTTTCGAACACAGGGCTCCACATGTCTACATTAAGAGCAATTAAAGGAGACAGATGCCCGTTATAAGTAGGATATCTACAGTTCAGGAGGTCAAAAATATTGTTCATGAAGTAGCAAAACTCTTCAGTTGCTTCAGAGCCGGCAAACTGAGGAAGTTTTAAAACCTCTCTGCAAAATTTAAGACTTCTTCCTACTCTTTGTGAAAGTACTTGCACGGCTAAATTAACTTTCATTATCTGATTTTTGAAAAAAATATGTTTGTA